TCCAGCACCGAATTTGAATCGAAACCTAATGTGATTACGAAGTTCAGAAACCCCATTCCACCAGCGAATTCTTCACACCAGTGGCTCGACACATCTTCAAGAAGGTTGTCTTCGTTCAGAGTAACGTAACTTATCTCCATCAAACCACCACCATTCGTCCTTCGAATAGTTCATGTTTTGGTAGGTTCGCCAGGAAGGGCCCTGGCCCAGGTCTTCTCCATGTCTACAACCTTCTAGTGCAGGGGTTCCCAAGCTTTTCTATGTCCCTCCCTTTAGGAAATGTTTGATTAATGTTGCACACCCTATAAAAGTAATATCACATTTGAAGATAAAGTAAAGTTTCTAATTTATGAATCACAAACTGAATCAAACAGTGCTGCGGGTGAACAAATCGAACTCAAAAAATAAGTTTTTAATTCACTACATACAGGGGTTATTTTTAATCCCTGTACTACTGTAAAGGTCAGTCCTCGTGATCACCTCACTGACTGCGCTACAAGCTGGTATCCAGCAAGGCGCGGTACTGCAGGCCTCACTGACCGCAGTACTGCAGTATATATATATTATTTATATATTATATATATATATATATATATATATATATATATATATATATATATATATATATATATATATATTATATATAATATATATATATATACACGAAATGTTTATAATTTATTAAAGGCGTAGATATGGTTATCTGATAAGCATTATGGTTACATTTTCTCCCACTCCATGTCCGTACTTCCGGACCGGAAACGTAATACCATCAGAATTCTCCTCGGATTACCTAACAATGACGATCCGTCAGATTTGTCGAACCGACGTCGTAGCTGGGACAGGTGATGCAGGGGGAATTACCTTGTTGAGTGTAGTATATGGTGTTAGTGGCACCTGTCTCACCTGAGGCGCTGCTCTCATTGGTCCGCTGCCACGCGATGCAACACGCCACAAGATTATTAATACCTTATTAAATCTCAAGTCGGGAACTGTGGGAGTACTACGGTAAATAAATTACCCTTTATATTATTCATACATGTTATGCATGGAATTGTAGCTGGAATAATCTATGAGGTTAGAGGTTGCGGGATCGATTCTCCAAGATTCGGGTATTTTTAAACAGTTTCGATAATGCCATTGTTAATTTCTTGATTGCCTACCCACATGCAAACGAAACACACACACAAGCACAAACACAAATCGTGTGTGTATTAAGACACAAATGCAGTATAATTGTGACCCTGTATTGACGTTTCGCCCACACACTGGACTCCCACAAGTAGGTATTTTAAACCATTTCTTTCCACAAATCGTGTGAATGGGAGAAGAAAAAGATAATAAGAGAAACAAGGTGCGGAAATACAGGATATTCGGGAATTACCTTGTACGACGAGCTGAATTAGTGACGTCATAGTCAGGTTGCTCTGCCTCCTGGAAAAGTGTTGCCTCGCGCGCATTACTTTCATTATTTTCTTATTTAAACACTCTCGTGGCGTAACACTTACGTTCATCATGCCGAGCACTTAAAATGAGACACACTTATAATGTAGATAACAGCACATCATTTGGAGAGTGAATTAAATGGCAAATATAATAAACGAAGAGGTGGCAGCTACGTCCGCCTCCAGTCGTGGAAAGTTTATATACAGACGTCGTTTCGTGTTCGTGTCAGTTGCCTTGTGGTCGTCCTCTAGTGCTGAACACTAAGTGCTTGTATGAGACGGGATTGTATACAGCATTCTGAACTGGAAAACCATCACCATGAAATCTCCGTTCAAGAACATTGTCTCCAAAGCGATATACTGGAAGGGCGAGGTATGTGTACGGGACCCCAAGAGCTTGGTAAAGAACTCCAGCTGGAAGTTGTTTTGACAGGACTCTGTTATTTTTTAATCACTAAAAAATGTGCCGGCAGACCTTTCACAAGCTGGTGAGTGGTGTCCCAGGAGCCTTAGGTGTGCACATAACCACACCATTTTGGGTGGATGTGGTTAATTCTTATTCACTTTTTTATTTGGTTGGTTGAATGTTGATGTGTGAAAGATTCTAATGGGAAAAGGTAGTTATGTGGCCTCAATAATTGTTAAAAATCCCTTGGTGGGGCGTGTGGTGCGGGTATCATTAATTTTGGGGTTCGGGATCGGGGTCAAGCCCCCGGCCCCGCCTCTTTGTGGTGTTGGTGTGTGGTACTCCCCTAATTGTGGTTGCAGGGGGCGAGACTCAGCTCTCCCCCCGCCTCTTCACGACCCTACTGGTCCTCTCTCCCCCTTCTTCCTGAGCTTTGTCATACTCTTTTTAAAAACTAGTATGGTTCCTGCCTCCATACTTCACTTGCTAGGCTATTCCACTTGCTGACAACTCTTGACTGAAAAATATTTCCCAAAAATCCCTGTGTCGTCGAGTCTTCAGCTTCAGTTGTGCCCCCTTTCCCCTGTGCCCCCTCTCTGGAAATCCTATCTCTGTCCCTTGTCTTTCCCCCCGCGTATCTTGTTGTCGTTATCATGTCTCCCCTACCTTCTGCCCCAGTGTCATCAGTCCGTTTTCCCCTTAACCTTTTGTCGTCGACTTTCCTTGGCTTGGGACACCCTGTTGAAAACCTTTGTACTTTCTCTAACTTCTTAGTCTTGCCCAGGTGGGGTTTTCCAAGGGTGCTGCTACCCCATATGGCCAAATAACACAATTTTCGTGTCTTGAACGATTCCAAATTTAAGGATGGGAAAAACGCTATTCTCAGGTTTGCCGGGGCGCCTATTGCGCGGTTATTTGGTTGGTGTGCCTGGGATGTGCTCGGGTTATGGTCCCCCCAAGGCTTTCTCCCTGAGTGAGGTCTGTAGTCTTTGTCCCCCTAGCCTATACTCTGTTTTGCGGTCTTCTTTCCCCCCCCCAAATTTTCATGCTTTGCATTTGGCTGATTGAATTCGAGAAGCCAGTTGCGGGCCCACTGTCCACCCTTCCGGTCTCTTTGCGTCCTGCCTCCCCTCGTCCATTTAATTTTTCTCATAACTTTACGTCTCTGCAAACGGGGCCTTCAGGTCTTTCCCTTCCATCATGTCGTTCACTATATAAAAATGCACGGGGTCCAAACTGCCCCCCTGTGGGACCCCGCTCGTAACAGGCCCCCACTCTGTACCTCTTCACGTACCATGACTCTTGCTGCCTCCCTGTAGGGATTTCCTTTCCCTTGCAGGCCCCCTTTTACGTGCGCCTGTCCTCCCGCTTCTGCCTAAAAACTTTGTGGGGCTGTGTCAAAGGCCTTCCTCATCTAGGAAAAAGAAATTCCACCCCTCTCTCCGTGCTTACTTTTGTTACCTTTTTCATAAAAATCCAGGGAGTTTTTGATACAAGATTTGCCCTTCCCTGAACCCATGCTGATTTTATTTTAATCTTGTTCCCTTTCCCGGTGTTTGACCCCTCTCCCCCTTTTAAAACTTCCATGACTTTTAACCAATACATGTCAGAACCAGGGCGTAGTTTAGGCCTGTTTCTGTTTCCCTTTTTTAAAAGTGGGGGCTACATTAGCTGCTTCCATTTTCAGGTATTTTTTCCCAGTTTCAAGGGTGTGTTTAAGATTGTGGGTTTGGGCAGCACAGCATCTCTGCTCCTTCTCTAAGGCCCAGGGGGATGTTGCCGGTCCCATCGCCTTTTAGTGTCAGGGCACTTAAGGTTTTTCCTCTCCCCCTCAGTTGTTATATGTCTCCAAAACTTTTGGTATATTCCCCCCTTGAGTTCCCTTCTGTGCTGTCTTCCACAGCCCCTTCTTCTCTATGTAAAAACTTCCCTTAAAAACTCCGTTTAGTCCTCACATACCCCCGATCATTTCTTTTGAGTTTCCACCCTTTTGTCCTTTAAAAATCACCCGGTCTTTAACTGTTGTTTCCCCCTGAGTGGGTTTTAAAAAGTTTCGGGGCAGTCTTGATTCCGAGCTATGTCATTTTTATACTGTCGCTGGGCCTCACCCCCCTTACCCGTGCGACTCTTCGGCTCTGCGATGACTCCCTATTTCGTGTGTTTTTCTGCCTTCTGTACTTTTTTTTCCCTTCCTATTACTTTGTTTTTGCCTCCTTTCCCGTCGGGGAAACCAGGGGCTCGTTCTGGTTTTCCCCTTGTTATTTCCCCTTTGGGGAAAAACCTTTCCAGCCTCCTTTCATTTTATTTTTCATATTTCCCTATTTCATTTACGGCTTTTTGCAGTTCTCTGTCCACTGGCCCCCGCGGAAGTTCTTTAAAACCCCAAGTAGTCCCCTTTTTATAGTCGGCTTTTCCCCTTAAAAATCCTGTTTTTCTCTCCCTTGCAGCTCTATTTGTGTGTGTGGGGGTGTTGGTGTGTATTTTTAAGATAATAGGGCAAATTTAAAGCTGAAAAAAACGCATAAATGCAAACCTACAAAAAAAAAGTGTCAAATCTTTTCACGACAAAAATTAAAGTTGTTTTGACCGAACATTGTGTCGACAAGTATGGTAGAGAGTTTGCAGAACAAGGCTCTAATAACGATGTTTTGTCTGTGTAGGCTTTACCCACCACCCATTAAAAGGTTTTGACAGTGACCAGCAAAGCTGAAAATCAAATATCGTGAAAACCTTGGGAACATCTGAGTTCCGTGCCAGGAGACGCTTGTCCGTTTTTGAGAATAAGCCCCTAACATATAATACTCCACATCACAACCCTATCCCACCACACCGCCCCATTATTATTATTACCACCAACACTATACACACATTACCACCACAATTCACACAGCTCCACTACAATAAATACAGAACTACTCTGCATAAAATGCATATACCGACAATGCATACACCGCCACTACAATGCACACAGCATCACTACAATGCACACAGCATCACTAAAATACACACAGCATCCATGCAATGCACACAGAATCAGTATAATTCACATAGCGCCACTACAATACACAGCATCACTATCACCACCATCAGCATCATCATCACACAAGTTGTCTAGAAGTGTGAGCTAACAGCTGTTTTTTCTCCTGCAGGGCAACATCAACCAGGGGTTTGAGGAGGGAGGAACAGAGAAGCCGGAGGCCACCGCGGAGGCCACCGTGGAGGTCGTCGTGGCTGAGGTATGTGGCTATTTGTGTAGTTTTCATCGTCTGTTTTGTAGTATCTAGAATTACATGCTCAGATATTTCTGTATATTGTATTCTTGTCGCAACTCTGATCTGACGCTAACATTACGGACCCACTGATTGGAATACCTAAATGCTGATAAGTATTATAACACTTATGGCAGAGCTGACGATAGCATTTTGGATCCACTGACTGGAATACCTAAATGCTGATAAGCATTATAACACTTATGGCATAATAGGGCTTTATTTAGACGATGTTTCGTCCGTCACCAAAGGAAAACGTCGTTCGTCGAAGTCTCGCTGTAACGTAAATGGCTCGGCATCCCGGACTGGGTGTTGTGGGGGAGGGAGATAGTGGGCTTCAAGGTCTCGAACCTGCCCCCTCCTGATTTTAATCTTCTCAGTTCAACCCCTTCTTCCCTCCCCCTTCCCCTTCTTCCCTTGTACATTCCTCCCTGATACCTGATGTTATCATGGTTGAGTCAGAGGAAACACAGCTAGCTCTAGCTCCCACTGTGACACTATTAAATAGACTAGGGTAGAAACACACTGCTGATCTAAAAAAAATTATTTATCGAGTCCGCAATTTATTATTTACAGTCATGTGGAAGCGCTAAGTCTGCAGGGGTTTATACAATCCGGGAGGATGGGAAGTAGCCAAGTTTGATCCTAGGAAAGAGGGGGGGGGGTAGCTCCATTGCCATGGATCAGCAGCCCTTCAAGGCGCCTCCTGTGATGGGTCGTTAATTCCACATCCCTGTGTGTCATAGAGCGTCCCTTGGACATGTGAGAGAGATTCCAGTCCTCCAAGAAATTATTCTAGTTTCTTTAGCTATTGTGCCTCACAGTAGATATTTTTTAGACGATACCTGCTATCCTGTGCAGGACGGCAGATATCACTACTCTTTTATCTAGTATTAAAATTAGATACAACACGGTATTTAGCTATCCTGATCTGTATGATAAGGGGTACAAGGTTAAATCAATGGCTTTGTTTATCTGATACGTATACTGATTTTTCAGTTATTGCGACACGTATGGAAACCACAGTTTGATAAGATATGCCAGGTAAACCATGGCTTAGAAAAACAGGCAAGCAAATACTGATACATATTTATTAGACAACTCTTGTCCTGGGACCTTGATCAAGGTCCCAGGACCAAAACGTTTTCCAATATGTCTTAGTGTTTGCCTGCGTTTCTTTCTAAATCAATTTGTTGGTATCTATTACCAAGGTTTATAGCAGGTAAACCATACCCTGTGTTCCCACTTTGTAAGGGGGGGGGGACTCATGATACAGGTATATATAAACCAAGAGATGTCTGTCTATGTGTATACAATGAGTTTTCTTTAAACCCTTTTTTGGGGGAAATAAAGTTGGTTTAGAAAGACACATAAGCAAACAAGGTTTATACCAGGAAATAAAGTATTCTTGACTGGTGGTGATCAGGTGACGTGATCACTTAATGACCTTCATGTGGTCAATAGGCTTTAATAACCTCCATTAACCAACCAACCATGTAACAGTCATATGTTCAGGGTGACCACACACTGCCGAGGATATCCTTAATACTCCACAAAACCAGTCCAAACAGCAACCCTCTACCTATTTTCTATATCTTTCAAAGCAATAACTGATTTATTAGCTGTTTTAGTTACTCACATTATTCACTTTAAACAATTACATGTGTATTTCGTCCCTGTGTGGATGAGAGGGAGAATAAGACACTTATGCAACGTTTGAGGAAACGTTTCGCCAGCCAGTGGCTTCTTCGGTCCAATACAGAGACGAACGGAGAAAGATGAGGAGGAGTTTGAGGTATCAGTCCCTCAGCCTGGAACCGATGTGTTCAATCCATCAATTGATGGAGTTTCATTACCTCAAATTCCTCCTCATCTTTTTCCATTCGCATCTGTATTGGACTGAAGAATCCACTGGCTGGCGAAACGTTTCCTCAGTAAAGGTTCCCAAGTGTTTTACAAATGTCTCAGTTTTCAACTTTTCTGTTTTCTAAACATCAGATCATGGATGTGCTACTACTCTATTTTATTGTGTGTCTGCGTATCTGAAATTTACCTAACATAAGTCACTTCATTTTATGTTATTCCTTGCAGCAGGAGTCAGGCGCCCAAGGCAGAGAACAATGGTCCAGTCCAGTGGAGTTCCTGCTGTCCTGCATTGCCATGTCCGTGGGCCTTGGCAATGTGTGGAGGTTCCCGTTTGTGGCCCTGGATAACGGCGGAGGAGCCTTTCTCATCCCATACATCCTTGTGCTCCTCTTTATCGGCAAGCCTCTCTACTACATGGAACTTTGCTTGGGTCAATTCTCCTCATATGGCTCCGTAAAGGTGTGGGCGATATCGCCTGCCTTCAGAGGTGAGAGATCACGTCAACATTCCTTTCTTACTTAAAACATCTGGAATATTTCCCTTGCTGTATTGTCTTTGATTATGTTATATATCGCTCAATCCACAGCAGGATTCGAACCTGCACACTCTGTATCAAAGTACAGTACTTTAGCCACTCAGCCACATCCCAGAGTGGCTAAAGTACTGTGTACTTTGATATAGTGTGCAGGTTCGAATCTTGCAGTGGTCTGAGAGATATGTTTGTAAATAATTTCGCCCGTTCCCGAATTGTTAAGAACATATATACTTTTTTTTCTAGCATGTGAATCTCAACGTTGTATGGCCTCAAAATATACTATAAATATTTGCTCTTCTCTGCAGGTGTGGGCTATGGACAGGCTATAGCTACGTGGGCAGTAGTGACCTACTATGTGTCTCTAATGGGCCTCACCGTGTACTACTTCTTCGCCTCCTTCACTAGCGAGCTGCCGTGGTCAGTGTGTGGTAAATGGTCCTCCATCACCTGCGTGGACTCGAACACAACTGCAAACGAACTCGCGGCCAAACTAGGAGTCAACGCCACCAGCCTAACCTCAGCTGCTGAGGAATATTTCTCGTGAGTGTTTTATTTTGACTTAAATAATCAAAATTAAATTTAAAAATGCAAAAAAATAGTGTTATATATATCCTGAATATTATATGCAATGTTTATTAATGTAACTTCACGAATTATTTTTTATATATATTCATATAATTCATCCTCAATTGCATTCTGTTTTAATTTCTTCAAACTTATTGCTTTTCTCATTTAGTTAGTACTAATAGATCAACTTCATAAACTTTTCAATTAAAAATAATTTGGCATTATAGAAATGCTACTTGAAATTCAGAGGACGAGAGTACCATGTGACTTGGTCAGCGAGCACAAGTTCACTCCTCCACCATTCCCTGTGCTAAATGACCAACACGAACATAGCACTTCATATAAATGTAGATTAGCCCGCTTCCTTCTCTTCACTCCGTGTGTTCCTTCCAACATTTTTAATGATAGTGTAGCGTATATGTTTATCCGACCTGAGTTGCCACGAGCTAACTTCATTCCCATTTATACTATTTGATATGCCTTTGGCCATTTGTATTTAAATTACATTAATTTAGGTTAAGTCTGACCTAAAATTACTTGAATTAACGTTTAGGGAGAAGTAGATCTCGTAACAGTAGCAAAGTGAACGGGAAGGAAAATGTGTTTAGCTCGTGTAGAAATACTTAAGATTGTTCTTTAGTAAACACTGCTGTTATAATGAGAGTTTGCCTTGTTATTGCATCTACCAACAGGAAGGAAGTTTTGCAAAAAGATCCCATGGGCCTCGCTAATGGACTGGATGTTCCCGAGTGGCGTCTCACACTGTGTTTGCTCTTCTCCTGGGTAATACTCTTCGTGGTGTTGGCCAAGGGTGTTCAGAGCTCAGGAAAGGCTGCCTACTTTACCGCCCTCTTTCCCTACGTTGTGCTTTTCATCATGCTGATTCGTGGAGCCACTCTGAAAGGAGCCTTGAATGGTGTACTCTTCTTCATCACACCTAGATGGGAAAAACTTCTGGAACCCGGGGTGAGACAGCTTTGGTGTTTACACTATATATACGTTTACTATTCTTGTTGTGGTTTATAATGTTTAATATAATTACATAAGTCCATTCCTCTTTGTTAATGCCATCCTGGATGTATTTCTAACGAAGCGTCTCTTCCAGGTGTGGTACGCTGCTGTTGACCAGTCGTTCTTCAGCCTCTCCGTTGGCTTCGGCTCCATCGTTATGTTCTCTTCATACAACAGCTTCCGCCACAATGTTTACCGGGACGCTGCTATCATCTCCGTCACTGACACACTCACCTCACTCCTCGCTGGCTTCACCACCTTCGCCATTTTGGGCCATCTAGCAGATCTTCTTGGAGTCGAAGTTAAGGATGTTGTTAAAGGCGGTGGTACGTCTTTGGCCTTCGTCAGTTATCCTGACGTATTGTCCAGATTTCAGTACGTCCCTCAGCTATTCGCGGTGCTGTTCTTCCTCATGTTATTTACCTTGGGTGTGGGCAGTGCCTCCGCTCTCACCGGCTGCATCATCACCATTATCTGTGACGATTTCCCTAACTTCAAGAAGTGGATTGTGACGCTGGTGGTGTGCATCGCTGGGTTCCTACTTGGCCTCTTCTACGTCACTCCTCAGGGCCAGTTTGTCCTCGAGCTCATCAATTACTATGGAGGAGTAAGCACCCCATTACTTGTTATATCAGTCGGAATATGAATAGCTAATTAAAGACGTCAATTTGTATACAAAAGCAAAATTCTAACGCCGTACGTCTCCTGAACTAACAACATATTTTTACCTTCAGGGCTTTATCATCTTCATCTTGGTGGTGTGTGAGATCGCTGCCGTTCAGTGGGTGTATGGCTTCAATAACTTCTGCCGCGACATTGAGTTCATGTTAGGTAGGAAGACTGGCCTCTATTGGAAGTTCTGCTGGGCCTTCCTCATCCCTGTGCTCCTCTCTGTTATCTTCATCTACAGTCAAGTCACTGCCAAGCCCCTGACAGCCGGCACATATGTTTTCCCATCTAATATTACAGGTGAGCTTTTGACCGCTGTCTTGAACAAAACTTATAAATTCAGCGTTTCTTTTTGTGTGTTATCTGTGATTATATATTGCACATAAGAACGGATAAATTTTGAAATTAAAACTCACTGTATGGAGTGGGGTTTGAATGTACCAGTAGGCTAGTGCTAGTTTTAGAACTGATGTAGAGCAAACCATTGTACCATGCCAGCCTAGTAAGATTCATGTGAGAGTTGTTTATAAAAAAAATGCATTTATGGTCACAATGGGGTCCATGCTAACCGTCTAAGTGAATAAAACTACATTTAGTGGGGTGAATCTTACTAGTTCTGCATGATACAGTAGATAATTGCTAGTTTTTGCACTGGCTTCCCCGGGGGCTCAAACCTAACTCAGTTCACTGAATTGTTTACTTTTATGTTACTACGATTTCGCGAGTCACTAAAATTATATTTGGTGTTCCTCAGCCGTCGGTATCTGCCTGGCCGTTCTGGCATGTTCCATGGTACCAATCTTCTTCTTCGTGGAGGTCATGCACCGACGCAATGACGTCTCCTCGCTGTGGCAAGCCATAGTGAAGAGCTTCAAGCCCACTGCCGAGTGGTGCCCCAAGGACCCCCTTATTCGCCAAGAATACAGACAATTCACCGATGTTAATAAGCCTGCTCTGGAAGGTATTGATAACCCAATTCCCCCAGTGGATTCCACGATCTCGATGGCGTCCCTCCATAACGGAACTCACCCAACCTTCACACAGTACAACACGAGTGTGTGATGCAGTGACGTGTCTCAGAGGTACAACCTCGTAGTAAAAGTCTGCAAGTTGGAATCTCTCACGTGGGAAAGTTAGCGGCAGAACTGCAGAGCTGAGGATGAATTGTCCGTCTTGTCTCTCAAGGATGACAGATTCTGATAAAGTTGGTAGAATTACCGACAATATGTAAAGTAAAACGACACAAGTGCAACTAATGTGACATTTTATTGTGGCAACGTTTCGCTCTCCAGGAGCTTTATCAAGCCATTACCATTAATGGCTTGATAAAGCTCCTGGAGAGCGAAACGTTGCCACAATAAAATGTCACATTAGTTGCACTTGTGTCCTTTTACTTTACATGACAGATTCTAAATTAGATCGCTATTTTGGCGTTCTATTGCACAACAAGATTCCTTACATATACCAAACTCGTGCAGTCATCGGGAGGAGAAGCCTCTAAGGAAACTATGTATCCCAAGAAGAAAAAAAACCAAC